GAGAGAGAGAGAGAAAGAGAGGGAAAGAAAGAGGGAATCCAGAGGGGGGAGGTTCTGCTCAAGTTTTAGCTCCTACTTATCCAGGTAAGGGGGAGGAGAACTTTGTTCCTTAAAATTTTATATTTCGTTATGTTTATTTAATTATGTTATTTTCTTTATATATTTATCTAGTGAGGTGTCCCTAACCTCATTTATTTGTTTATTCTATGCTTATTATTCTTCATAATAATTGTTAATATGTTCATATTCTATATTGTTTATTTATTCTGTAATAATTATCATTATTATTTAATTAATTGGTGCTCTTAATATATCTTAATTACGTATTTGTTATTTAAGTAAAGATTAAATAATGATAAATTCTCAAATTTATTTAGCGTTATTATTGGTTATAATATAATGTTTTTAAAGTATATTTGACTCGTTTTAAAAATAAATACTGCTCTATGGCCATAGAAGATAAAGTTTGAATTATTTGTAGCTGGAGGTTTGACCTTGGGGATTTAAATGAGTAAAGAATGAAGGTGAAATATCCTATTGTTGGTTAAGGTGAAATATCCTTTTATTGGTTGATATTTTGATGATGCTCATTTATCCTGACTAGTCACTACAAGTATAATTCAAATTTTATTGTATCATGAAAATTTAATATATGATCTGTATATATATATATATATATGTGTGTGTGTGTTTAATATTGATTATAAATAATTCTGTATATTCTTTTGAGTTATTATATTTATTGGATATTGTTCTTACTCCTTTCTTTTCTTTGTTTTTATAAATTAAATATATTACAAAATAGATGGATCTACTTTGGATTCCAGATCATTTTGCAGTTGATATAGCTGTGGTATTCCTTGGAAGGAATTGGAATGTGGAGGCTATTTGATGAATCTATTACAATTTTTGTAAATTTATTTTCACTATCAATGTAAATATTGTAATAAAAGTGAAAGAAAAATATATTGTGTAAAATAATACATTATTGTAAATATTTTAGAACGATATATCATGTATTAAATTCACAAAATATGATTGTTCTTTACCTTTATCTTTATTATGAAAAAATAATATTGTTAACGATATAATTGTGAAAATATTATATAAGAAAATATATAATTATTATTATATAAATTGGGCGTTAGAATCAGGCGTTACAGTGATGTAACATGCTAACGAGGTGTATGGACACCAGTGATAGGTGTACCTTTGGGTCACTAGTGATAAATTCTAAAACTTCCTTATGGCGCCACATGCATGCATTTATGAGTTAAATTCATGACATCATTGCATGATATATGAGTATAAATTTGTGTATTATTTACATGTAACTTATAATTATTGTATGTGTGCTATTTAACTTTTATTTCTACATCTGCAACTGAGTGAGATGTTTCTCACTCCCTTGTTATTCTTGTATATGTTTAAATTTATGTTGCAGGTGATCATAATCACGAGGATGTTGGTAATGAGGTGTAGAGGCTTAGTGGGCATGCTCTGAAAGGATGTGACATAGGGCTTAGCTAGGCTTACTCTTATTATCTTTTTCTTTTATGATTTTGAATGATTAAAATTTGTATTTTGTAATATTATGATTTGGAAATTATAAATTCCTAATTAAGAGGCACTGCCACCTTTATTGGGATTAATTTGAAATCTTTGTTTTATTATAACTTCTTGAGTTTAATATTTATGTGCATGAATTATGAATGTGCATCTTCTACCTTATGATACTTATTGTTTTATATCATTCTATGAAAATCTTTTATAAATATAGTTTATGTTTATTAATTATGTTGGGGTAGAGGGTGTCACAAAATCAAAAACGAAGTGGTTGATTATTTAATGTTTCTGGTTTAAATTAAAAGAGGAATAACAACAAATAAACAATTATACCAGAATGTTCAAATAAAAAATAAAAAAATAAAAAGAAAATGGGAAGGTATTGAAATCTCCTTAATTCTTCTCCTAATGTAATTTCTTTGTCTTCAAATTTTCCTCATATTATGTGGTTCACATCCTATTTCTCTAATTTATTTTTATCACCAATTCATTGACGAGTAACCCTTTATTCTCCCCCAAGAGAACAAAATTAGTCATAGACATTAGGTTTAGGAAATTACAAATGAATGCATACAATCTAATCCTATATTTATGGGTGCAGGAATATTCCACGTTTATTGAATTTGAAAATTTTAAACCTCAATTTCTTAATTGTGAATATAAATTACTAAACAAACCGGAAGAGGGTTGATCACGAGAAGACATTAAAAACTAATTCGATAACTCATTTCACACAAAAATATAAATAGGATTTAGAAAGAGTGATTAATTACATAAGGTTCAAATATATCATTTCAATAACCTAATCCCGAGAAAATTAGCAAATGAAAGGGAAAGAGAAATAAATA